GAGAAGTTGATCTCTGGAATGTATCTGGGAGAAATTTTACGTAACGTGCTTCTGAGATTGGCTAATGAAGCTGCCTTGTTCGGAGATAGTGTTCCACCAAAACTTGAAACCCCATTCATACTAAGGTATAATATATGCTGTTATCAAGGAATTATTACACTTTGTGCATAGATTCAGTTAAACAGGCATTAATGATTTAATGCATTCTGGAGAGATTTACTGCAGTTAATTGGCTAAATTATTGTGGATCACAAAGACCATGTAGATAAGCTCTCTAGAAATATACTGGTGTAGATAACAATTTTAGTGCCATCAATTTTATCAAATTGTTGGAATCAAAGTTTTGGCCATTCTGCTTCTGTTGTTTCTTTTTCTTTGAACCTAAATATACCTGACTGGTGTAACAATGGCTGAACACCAGCATCCAAATTGTGCATATATCATATGCCTGCATAGTAGACCAATTTGCCTTTTGAGTTCTGGCTGTGGAAGAGAGGAGTCATAGACGAGGGGAGAGAAGGAAGTTTGCTCTGATGGCACACATAATCTGCCTGTGTTTTTTACGTTCTTTTTATAAGCCTTCTAAATGCTTCAAGGCCATGACACAAGTTTCTCTTCTTAGAAGTCACTTCATAGGCTGGTACATCAGACATATCCAATATATTGAGTTAGAAATTGTCATATATGTATTGACTACACGTAAGCACCATATTTTGTCATTTTTGAAATAAAACTTGGTTCAGGTTTGTGTTAGATATGATATTTATCGGATCACTCTCAGGCTATTCCTAGTGGTAGTTGCATATATTTGATATGTCCACAAAATATTCAGTGTTCCATGTTTTTTCAACTTGTGTACACTCCATTATTGTAACATCTCATTAGTCCCACATCGGAAGTAGGCAATGTGTATGATTGGTTTATATGGGTCTGATGAGTGTACTACGTTAACTCTCGCATAAGCATTTTGATCCGTGGTTGAAGGACCAAAATGAAGTTATTGGCTAATTGGCTCATCAGACTCGGGTCGTGACATTTGGTATCAGAGCCGTATGCTAGGTTCGGGTTATGTTAGGCCTTGATGAGGACGTCAAGCTAATTGAGTTGGGGATATTGTAACATCCCATCAGTCCCACATCGGAAGTGGGCACCTTCGATAAATATAGCAGTATTATGTAAAGCTGACAGTGATCTAGTAGGGATGACAAAGGGTCGGGTTCTGCTCCTACATGACCCAATTAAGCTGGATTAAGGTACTCGCTAGTTGAGTCTAGGACAAGTGCTGGTAGGAAAGTAGGTACCAGAGTTGGGTCTGAGATGAGTAGTTTATGTGGGTTCAGAAATAAATAGCGAGAAAGTCATGGGTAATCTAGCATTTTACCATTTCTAGATAACTGCTTATGTTATCAGATCAGGTGATGCTGTCTTTCAAAGATCATGCTACAAATACCATTACTGGTACACTTTCACACCCAAAATGAAGCCGTTCAAATTAGATGTTGGTTTCACAAAGAGCCAGTACAGCGAAAAGTCTAGAGCATTGTACATCAATGAAATGCTTCTACTGATTTATCTGTAATATTTGTTTTTTCTTTCATAGTTTGACATGAGGTCCAAATATTAAGCATTGTCCCTGACTTATTAATTATATTAGGCAAGGGACAGTTGCTTTATAAAGTTTACCAATAAAATATCTCTATAACATTGGCAGAGAACAGTTTGTTTCAGATCAGCTTCAGCCATTTTGGAGTCTAAACTGAAAATTGATTTGCTTTTATCTGAATTGGCAAAATGGTCTACGTCGTAGAATGGCAGAAATCTGCTGGTTTCAGTCAGTTCACCGGAAAGTGGAAACCTATTATACCCAAGGTGTCATGGACAAATTCTGAATGACAATTCTCTGTGAACTTTCTTTAGGTCCTGTTCCCAACCTCTTTTTATCTATAGCAAATAAAAGCAATTAAGGGATCTTCTCTGGAGCCTTCCTTCGTTTCATTCATTCTTCTGGCAGATACACTGCTCAAGTTGAGAATGTGGGAAGTTGTTCTTGAAACCTGGCATATTTGTGAATTGCAGTTTGTTTAATATTCTTAGATCAGAAATATCTCAAGGCTTCGGTCAGATAAAATTTGAATCTCAAATTTCTTTTTGCCCATTGTTTTCTTATACCTGAGCTGCTACTCTAAGTTTGAAGATTCCATTAACTGAAAATTAAAAGCAAGATCAAGAAAATTTTATTGGTTAATTTCGTTGTCTAAATTTGTGATAACTAGCAGATTGTTGCAGTGATTTAGGTTGAATTTTTATTGATTCTGTAAAAATATGCTTATATGTGATTGAATTGGTGGTCTATAGCTCTCTCCTATGATCAAAAATTGTTTTATGTTGTCAAGTCTTGGTCTCTTCCAGATTTTTCAAGAGCATTCTGAACAAGTTTTTGAGATGAGATTTGCAGGACCCCAGTCATGTCAGCCATGCATCACGACAACTCACCTGATCTTAAAGTAGTTGGGACTAAACTGAAGGAGCTCTTGGGGGTATGATCACTTTTGTTCCCACTGTACGTACTTGGCAGCCGGTTGGCTATAGTTGTCATATTTTTCAAGAGTGTTTTGCTTTCTCTTTGCATTCCAGATCCCTAACACTTCCCTCAAGACAAGAAAAGTGGTAGTCCAGGCATGCGACATCATTGCCAAGCGTGGGGCTCGCTTGGCTGCTGCTGGCATTGTTGGTATCCTGAAGAAGATCGGGCGTGATTCTGCAGCCAAGGATGGTGGTGACACTCCGAGGACGGTTGTTGCCATCGATGGCGGGCTCTATGAACACTACAACATATTCAGCGAATGCTTGCGAAGCACGGTGAAGGAGATGCTTGGAGAAGAGGCCTCGGCTTCTGTTGTCATCAAGCTGGCCAATGATGGGTCAAGTATCGGAGCAGCTCTCCTTGCAGCTTCCCACTCTCAGTATCTAGACGTTGAAGAGTCCTAAAAGGGTATCTAGTTCAGGCAACCTTTTGTACATAACCATCGAAACCTCGTATCCTTTTCTCTCTTGTATCTTAATTTAACCATTGCGGTAGTATATATAATGGTAGAGGGAACACGACGTGGTCACCTCATAGAAGGAAGCACAACAGAATCTTATATAGAGGATGTTGTTGCTGTCCTGCCCCTCTTGTGTCCGTTTGTTTCTCTTTCTTTCATGGTGCTATTGTCTCTTCACTATTAACCAATAAATGGAGGGGATACAATAAGTTTTGAATTCTGTGGATTTGCTGTTGTCTTTGCCAGAAATGTTCGCTCTCTGTGTTCATTCGGTGATTTCCTTATGCTATAATACGTGTTGGTAATGTCCTCTTTTTTTTCCTGGCATTGGAGATTGGATTTTGTAGCTCAGCTTCTCATTGTGGTAGAGGAACTGAGTTTTCTTCACTTGGGCGATTGCAGCGTAGCAAGATTTGCACGACAGTGAGGAAGAATTGAATTTGAGTGATTGTAGCGTACTATTACTAATTTGAGGTTAAATATTTTGGTTTCATAATTAGTTCTCAATAAGTTAATTATTCTATCAAGTCTGATTATAATATATCATGATAAATGATATCAGAATCGATCTTGTATTAGACGTGGTGATTCCGATCCCGATAAATGATATCAGAACCGATCTTATATTGAATATGATAAAAAATACATAAGAAAAAAGAGTTAGAAGATATGTCATAAAAATATCACTGGATTAGAATTTTACATGCATATTTTATCATTGGATTAGCCTTGCATTGCACGGCAACACGTACAACAGGGGATACAGAGAACTTCATCGCCCTGATCGGAAAAGCATCGGCTTCCTGCTCGTTCGCATTCTTGGTGATGAACTGATCCAATCCAAGCATGGCCACTGTATTCCCACAAGGCAGGCACGTCCTTGACTGCCTCTTGTATCTTTCCCATCCATATATGTCTCTTCTTTGGACGCTCTTCACGGGAACGTAGTTTGGTCCCATGATTCGAACTCTGCTTCCTGTTGAAGCCTTCTGGGAAAAGACTTGTCTGAAAGCGAAGAATCCGCCCTTGTCTGAAGCTGGAATCATCTTCGATACATACGGCATAAGAGGGCCGTCCTGATCACAGTTTCTGATTGCATATGTATACACATCATCGAGTGGACCTTCGTACACGTTCTCCGCACGATACTTTTGTGCCTTGGCAGGAGAAGGAAGGTGGAAGATATCATCTCAATAAGGGCATCGCTTGCCGGCAGCCAAGCTTGCATGACCCTCTTCGTGAAAGCTTTACCCGTCAGTTGTCTCTCCTCTGCTTTCATGGTGACACCAAGTTTCTGCAGCATATGTCACCACCTCTCTTTCTGATCCGTCATGCAAAGATCGATGATTTGCCCGGTTGGTTCATAGCAAAGTTGGACAACGCTTACAGGTAGGAGAATCCGTGTTCTTCAACTCATTCTTCAACTCATCGACTCCAAATTTGGCTGCATACTTCTTGGCAAAGCCCAGCCATGCAATCTGGCAGAGAAAACAGTCCGGTGCTCAGGATGGACTTGAACATCACCAAGAAGGGGGTCTTCGTAGGTAGCCATGACCACATCTGCAGTCTCAATGACACGTCGAAATGTCTGATACGCTTCCTCACCTTCAACCTGGAGCTCCAAGAAACATCCGTCATCTCTCATTACTCATCGTCTTCTGACAAATGCAATTTACCTAATCAGTATCGTGACAAGAAACTACAAACAAAGAATAAAACTAGAAGAAACTAAAAGTAACTTTTGATTATGAATTCTTCATGCAAAAGAGATCATATCTATCATCAACAATTTATTCTTACTGTACAAGTAGACGTCTGAGATCTTTTCTTTGAAGATGATCAATAGGTATGTAGAACATCTTTTCATTTTCTTTGTCAGCAAACTATGACACCAGTCTTTGCATCCTTTCACACCATAATATTACTTTAAATAAGAGAAACGTCACATACCATGAGCAATGACAGACATGTTGCGGATGTCATGCTTCTTGTCCATGATATTCCGGAGCTTTTCCACAGTGAACTTCACCATCTTGAACACACCCAGCTATATATCCTGTCAATTGCAACAATTTGTATCAGCAACACAGCTCAAACAAAATATGACCAGATCATACAACACTTACACTAGTAGGAAAGAATATATAAGCAACATCGGTGCTTGCTAACTTATCAGTTTAGTATCCCTATCCAACAATTTCTACAAAGCAGAAAAATAAGAACACAACCAACTTAACGTCAAGATGGATCTAGATTAGATTCTTTCATGAATTCCAGTGATATCGACAGTAAGAATTTGGTCACGGGAAAGATACTGTCACTTCAATCAAAAGAGGATAACTACAACAAAAACAGGCTGCTACGAGCACCAAAAGAGAAAGAAAAATTGACAATAAGGAGAGATAGAACATAAATTGATCGAGCACAAAATTTCTAAGCTAGAACAGAATATATCAGAGGATGTAACTCACGACGAAATGAGAACAAGCACGAGGTGGAGATCACGAGGAAGGAGACGACGGCCCCCAACTCTGCAATCGGTATCTATTAGTCCATCGGTTGAAGGGTCAGCACTAGAACTATCGGCACGAATCTTAAAGCGATTGACACGTCCTCAACGATCTTATCTCGCAGGGGAAGTCTGTGAAGACTATATGATACGTTCATGGGCTAATTATATATTAATTATATAAAAATTATAGATTATATTTTTAAAAGTTATATTAAAATTTTTATATTTACGAAAACAAAATATTAAAATTTATATATAAGATTAAAAAATAATTTTATAAAATTATAATTAAAAGAAAAAGATTTTATTAGAACAACAGATCAAATGTTTCACTAAAATCGTAAGTTTAATATAATTTTTGAAAATATAGATATTGAGATTGTAAAGATAACTAATTAGGATAATATGTAACTAGCCATACTTTCATTGGGTTCAGGTTTTATTTACCGATGTGCCACTAATCATACTCCCGATGCCCGCTCGCTTCCCGGCGTTCCTCCGCCATCTCCACCGCCCTCACTCCGTGATCCGCTGTCGGTGCTCCGCCATGGCCGCTGCTCTCTCGACAGATCGACCATATACCCGATCACGACCTGGATCGGCTGGATCGGGACCGGCGTCACGGACTCGATCGGGGTGCCAAACTGGCCGGTTCCTCCGCTGCCGTAGCGCGCGCCAGCAATGTCGTATTCCTCATCGTCGGCTACCGTTCCGACGTCCGCCGAGTCACCCTCGATCCCTCCGAAGGAGCTCTCTCCGGCCTGGTCCCGGGCTCCATCCTCGTCTACATGACCACCAGCCCTCACCCTCGCAGCCGAGATCGCTGGTAGATGGGCGGAGCAGCTGGGGCCGCAGTTCGGGGTGCATGGGAACGGCGAGGTACAAGGGCTGAGCAGGGCAAGGGGCAGAGTGCCAAACTCGGGAACCAGATTGCGATCGCGTCGACGATGGTGGGGTTGATGGAGGGGATGGTGTACGCCCAGCTGTATGTCTCGCTTACGGCGCACGGGGAAGGGGAATTGGGGATCCAGGCGTTGATTCTGGCAATAGAACGCCTCAACAACAGTGAGTTCAGCCAAATTGGTGTCTAATCTGTTAATCCTGATTAGTCTAACTCAAATCCATCATCAATTTTAACCTCATCTATAGGTTTATATTCGACATGGAATTTGAGGTAATATTCCGGAAAATGTCAAAAAAGAAGAGCTGTAAGGAAGACTGTCAGGCCGGGCCGAGCACAAGGCGTCTTTTGTCGGTGGGTCGTTTTACCGAACACATCGCGGGCGTTGCATTCCCCGTTAGCCCATGTGGTGTTTGATGCAATGTGCTGTGTCTTTCCTGCTCTCTCTCTGCTCTGTTTCTTCCACTACACTAACCTGTTTGGCTACCTCTTACTAAACTGAAGGCTCTGTTGCTCATCCAAGTGATGATATCCTTTCTTACACATTTAACACTCTACCAAACCCATGTGTACAAACAGCGATCCCAATGAATGCGCATAAAACGCCATCATCCTCCACATGAAGAGAACAGTCACGCCGTCCCCACGCCTTGTCCCCTTCCCAACTGCAATCCATTAGCTTATGAATACCGGGGGGCCGAGCCTACCTACCACAGCTCGTTTCTTCCGGCACAAGGGAGGACCCATCACATGCTTCATACCAACCCGTCCCACGCACCAGTCTTGCAAAACACTCTCCCTCCTTCGTCTCTACTGAGATCGATAAGCACTTGCACTGAAAGCGAGAGCCATTATACTTATGTTGATTACAATACAAAGCGTGGAGGCGGTGGAGGACATGATGCCGATGACAAGCCTTGCGGTCTCTGGTAGCGTACGCCACGAACGAGAATAATTCCAGACTGGAAGATTGATTGCTGTCTTCCATCATGGCTTTGCTTTCTCTCTCATCGATATGACCGCAGAGTTTCACATGAGCATGGGATGTGGGGCCCGTTTCCTCTGCCATCGTCCTTCAGCTTTCCTTTCCCCTCGGGGCTTCCGGTTCATCTTGCTGTTGTGGCTTCGCTACGAAAGCTACACATCTATGAAAAGCTTGTGACGTCCTATCATTGACGCCATGAACGCCAAGCAGCCTGTGGAGCTTGAAAGTCGTGTAATTTTCGATTTGGGAACTGTTCTCGTGGTTTAAGTAGCCTTTCCGATCAATAAATTTTCTCGCTTACTGTGGTGTTGACTCCGAGTCACGAACGTCAACGTTGTAGATTCCCTCGCACGTCGGTCGTCCCTCAAGATCTCCACTCACGTGGTCGGTTTTTGGCTGCGGCAAGTGTCACGGTTAAAACAGGGAACGCCCAGTTTCCATTGTCGCGTACCGCATTTCGTGGGGACCCACCCGTACGTTTGCTGAGAGGAGAAACGTGGTTCCTGTCGCGCCCGAACAGGAGCGGCGTGGTGGGCATCTAAGATGACATTTATCACCGCAGCATCTCTCGAGGTTCTTTCGGCCGACACGTATCGACCCCACGTGAGCTACATCAGACCACGTGAGGTGCTTTGAGCTTCGCGCTCCGGAATCCAAGGGTCAGAATCCGGCGATCACGGCGGGCTGCTAGAGAACTCCGCAGGATGGACGGCCGAAAGCTTCCGTGGCTACGTTCGATGGATCTCGTCACGAGCCAGAGAGCTGTTTGGGTTGGCCTGCATATATTTATCCTTTGGATTCCTTAGGCGAAGGGTGTCGTCAGAGCGTAACGGTGGATTTCCCATTCTACCCATGTATATATCATCCTCGTTTTCCCAATGTCATGCTGTACCATCATTCAAGCAACATCTCAATCTAATTATAATCTCATTCAGTGTTTATGCACTTGAAAGAAAGATAAATTTTAATTAATGAGTGAATACACGGACAAAATAATGCTATCAGTGGAGAATTATGTATAATATTAAATTTATTTCGACAAAATTGAGGGAATAATTGACGTAATCGTCGTACATGCTTTGAGGATAAGATGCCCAAATTCTTTATGAGTAGTTTCGTAATATGTTGAACCAATTCGGGGCATTTCAAGTACCTCGAGTAATCCCCGCCCTTTCCCACTTGCTGTTCGTTTGTGATCTCTCTCTCTCTCTCTCTCTCTGGTTACAGTGGGAGACGCTGTGACGGCTGCAAGTCCAACCGCAGTAACCCTCAGCTTTCTCACATCCTCCATAATATTGCTGCCATAAAACCCAATCCTCTCCTTCCTTTCTCCTGCATCTGAGCTTTGTTAACCCATATCTTTTCTTTTCCCTAATTGTCTCTCATGAATTCGATCGGTTCCTTCTTCTAATCTGAGATTGTGAACTTTCTTATATTTTTCTTGAATTGTTGGTTTCAAAGGTCCTATATTGGGCGCAAATGGATCTCCTCAAGATCGCGCTCGCCGTCTCGATCCTGTTGATCGTTGTCGCTCCCTCGGCGTCCTCGTCTACGCCCCTCAATTGCTCCGACACGACGCGCGTCTGCACCTCCTTCCTTGCCTTCAAGGCGGGCCGCAGCGTCCCCCTCTCCCAAATCCAGAGCATGTTCGACGTCTTCCCTGAGGACGTCACCGCGGACGAGGGCAGCAGCCCTGGCTACGTCTTCATCCGCAAGAACTGCTCGTGCCTTTCCAACAACGAGTACCTCACCAACACCACCTTCACGGTGCGGGAGGAGGTGAGCTCTGTGTATCCTGTGGTCGCACAGTCCTACCAAGGGCTCGCCTTCCTGCCCAACATGACCCTACGGGCCGCACGGGCCAAGGCCGTCGTGTCCCTGCACCTGCTCTGCGGGTGCTCCAGCGGGCTGTGGAATTACCTGCTGACCTACGTGATGGAGGACGGCGACTCGATCGAATCACTGTCGAGTAGGTTCGGAGTCAGTATGGACAGTATCGAGACGGTGAATGGGATGTCCGGTCCTGATGGGGTCGTCGTCGGCGACGTTTATTACATCCCGCTGAATTCTGGTGAGCTGCCTTCCGATCTCAATAGGTTCTTTTCCCACACTTTTAAGGTGGATGATCACGTTTTTATTTGATAGATAATTTTCTTGTTCAATTACACCTTCTAGAGATGTATTTTGAAAAGCCATTACCCCAAATAATTGAACTGAGTTGGTGTTCCTTGTACTCAGTAAGCATGAACTCTTAGGAGAAGATGAAGTCAGCTTAATAATAATAAAGAAATCTTTTTGATATATTGGATATGTCCAGGAAGTTAGGGAGTAAAGTACTAATTGTAGACATCCAACCAGCTAACCTGTGGTGTTTACCGGATTCCTTTTGCACAGGTCAAGAGTCTGATCCATCGCTATGGCACCTTATGCCTCTGTTGTTTTTGCTTAAGTGGCATCCAAAAAAAAAAGTTTGAAGAAAAATTTCTTGCTGAATCCCCTATGATAACAATCTTAATGTATTTCCCATACCCATTTTTCAGTTTTTTGGAATATACTACATACCTCAACCAAGTTATGTTAGTTAGATGCACCTTCATTCCTTGAGTTTTTTTTGCCTTTTGTAGTTCCTGGCCTGCCTTACTCTGCAGATACTGGAATTGCTCCTTCTCCAGCTCCAGCTCTCTCACCACCATTGACCTCATTTTCAGGTATGAGATACTGCATCTTCTTTTCTGTTAAAATGGGTAATTATTTCAGTCATTTCAGATTATGTTTCACATTCTTCCATGTTTATGCTCAGTAATTATTTTGATGAGAGATGCAGTAGATAAATTTGCCATTTGTTTCACAGAATTTCTGAATATTTTAACAGATTTTTCCCCATTGAATGATAATTGTTGATAATTTCCAATTTCTCTAGTTCTTATTTGATGACTAAAAGGAGCCTTGATTAACTCTCACTAAATTGTCAAGAATACATATACATCCATTAGAGAAATCTAAAAGATATTCCTGAGCCATTGTGTTCTTGCAGCCAAGACTGTGCATCAATCAGCTGGTTTCCCTTATGGATGGGTTTTTGGGAGTATGGGTGTTTCTCTTGTTCTGATAATTGTGGCACTGTTCTCATTCATTTCTTTCAAGTCCTTCAATTCAAGGAATGAAACAAAAGATCCTGATCGGCCTGTGTCCCTTAAGTTCCATATTCTGCGGAACACTAGCTTCTGTTGTGCTTCAGGAAGGTATCTCTGCTGTAAATATGGGAATCTGAAATCATCTACCGGGGATGCAGGAAGTCACCATGTCAACATTCCCAAAGGTCAGTTTGTGATCAATATCATTTCACGTCATATATGTGGTTATTTGGTTATTTGGAATAAAATTTCCTCTAATCATGTGTTATGTCAGTTTCTTCTTTTTTCAGTATTTGATTTGTATCAGTCAAACAGTCGAATCTCTAATAACTTTTCAAGTATTTGTCACCTGTAGAATGAGTTTGATATGCTTTTGTTTGGTATCAACTTGTGAGAAGTATATATATATATATATATATATATATATATATATATATTGAAAACTTTGTAGATCCCTTAAAATTGTACATGGCTTAAATTGGAACCTAGCATAAAACTAACTAAAATCTTGATCTTCCCTGCAATGGGCTCTTTTCTGTTATACTTTTTAGAAATGACAGGAAAAGATGATCGATTAGTCACCATCATATTTAGATTATTATAAGCACTGTAAAATTAGTCAGGCATCGATCTTTCTAAATTTTTTCAATTAGGATTTCCATGGTAATTTGAGCTGCTTATCTTTGCTAAAATTTCTTCTAGTGAAACTGCTGGTTAAGGTACTATTATCATGGTTGTTGTTGTCTTTATGATTTGCATGTCTGTTGTTATTATATAGCTACATGTTTGCATAGGATATTTCAGTGTGTTTGAAGTTTTTGCCTTGCAAGAGTGCAAGAGGCTGAAACATAACTTATGTCATTGGACTAAAAGTCATTATTTTTCTTAACCTCTTGCTTTCTTTTACTTCTGAGTCCCACAGTATCACAAGTAGGTTCTTTTACCCTTCAGGTATGGTGGGTGATGCATTTGACATGGAAAAGCCTATTGTCTTCAAGCATGAAGAAATACTTTCTTCTACTGATAACTTTTCTGATACAAATCTACTGGGCCATGGGAAATATGGTTCTGTGTATTATGGGGTCCTTCGAGACCAGGTTTGTAAGGTTTTGGTTTTTGCTGTGGAAAAATCTCTGATTTCCGGTTCGTGACTTTCTTTATGGTTACAATGATGAATAGGAGGTTGCAATAAAAAGAATGGCTGCTCTGAAAACTAAGGAATTTATGGCAGAGATGAAAGTGCTCTGCAAGGTCCATCATGCTAGTCTGGTAAAACTGCTTAAAGCTCATAGTATTTGGTGCTTTTTTAACTAACAATTATGAGGTTTATATATCTTTAATCTTTGTTTTGCATTATACTTCAATTTTGTCAAGGTAGAATTGATTGGTTATGCTGCAACTGATGATGAGCTCTTCCTCATCTATGAATACGCTGAGAAGGGTTCACTCAAGAGTCATCTGCATGATCCACAAAACAAGGGTATGATTTCTATTTCATGGTCCTTTAGTGCACAGAAAGATGGAAATAGTTTTGTGAATTTAAGCACACAAAACCAGTTAATCCATTTGCAGCACGAAAAGCTTAGACATCATCCTTGTTATATTGTGTTCTACCATATTAAAATTTTATGGATTTTTTCCTGTAATTAGTTTGCTAACTTGCATCTTTTGTGGCAATTTTGATAACATCTCCAACATTAAGAAAAGGTTTACACTGTATTGCTGCAATAACGGTGAATGCACCCCATGTCTGGTACATGTATGAGACATCAGATCTAGGAGTTCTAAATTCTATGTACTTTTATTTGTAGAAAGGTCTACTTAAGCTTTATTCAAGTAAGGCAGACAATTGAAACATCTTTAGGTAAAGGGCTTTTAAATGAAACATCTTAAGCTTTATTTGTAGAAAGGTCTACTTAAGCTTTATTCAAGTAAGGCAGAC